TTACTGAGCGATGCCGTTGAAGGAAACAAGTTTGTGTTTTTGATTATACTACTATGTAGTATATATGTGTATAAGTTATGTGTGTATATACTACATCTGGTAGCTTGACGAAGGGCATATCTATGCACATGTTTATTTACATTCACACATGTAACATATGTGTATGTGTGTATGTGTTGTATTAATTTGGTTTTATGGCAACACTGAATTGCTTTTTACTGTTGCTTGTTCGGCTGCTTTTATGAGTGATTTGGTTTAGACCAGCCACAGATGGCTAAACATTAAAAATTTTAAGCTTTCGATGCAGCTGCAATCATTATTTGCTATGTGTTATGAATGCAGTTCATTGGCCAAGTCTTGCATACGGCCACAGTAAAACAGACGTACACAAATCGCATGCAAAACGCACGAAAATCGCAAATAAAACGAGCGCACGCGACTGCGAAAACGCGTGAACAATTCAGAAAACTTTTTTGCAACGCGCGCAAACGCAAAAAGTTTAAACAGTCCCGCAAGAAAGTCGCACAGAAACTGCAAGAGGATGAAAATTGCAGGCAGCTCGAGCTCCCAGCTCACAGCCGAAGTCACCGCTTAGTGCAGCGCAGCAGCAGTCGCGGCAGCAATTGAGTGCAATTGCCGTTGCTGTTGCCGGTGCAGCAGCAGCAACAACAGCAGCAGCAGCGGCAACCATAACAATAACAATAACAACAAGTTGCAAAACACCAACGAAGCGCAGCGAGCAAAAATCGCCAAGCAAAAAAGTGGGAAAATAGCAACAACCTCTCAAAGACCGACTGACCGAGTAATACAGTCCAGCAACAGCTACATCAACAGTAACAACAACAGCCAAACAGGCAACAGGCTGCCGCAGCGACTCTGACAGCGGCTGCGGCTTACGATTGAGAAGCCGAGCTCACATACGAACCTGGGAGCAACGGCAAAAAAGCCGCTAAAACGCAAAAAACCTGTTGAGCTGGCTACGGCCGCCGTTTGGTCTCTCTGCCAGCGTCGTTCGTTGCTTCGTTTATCGCCGATCGGCGTCGCTCTCTAGCTTTAGCTCCAGGTTCAGTTATAGCTCAGTTGCTTAGTGCTCAATGCTTAGCTCTGCTCTCTCAGTTGGCGTTGTTGAATTTGTTGGTGATTTTCCAGTCAATCGCTCTGCTGCCTGATGGCTGACCTAGCGGTTCATTTCCAACCCAGCTGTGCTATCAGTTGCCGATCAGCTTTTGACCAATAAAAAGAGGTTTCGGCGACGTCACTGGAAAGCGACGCAGCGACTGCGACGCTTGGAGTGTGCGAGCAAAGTATACAACACATGAATTGAAGAGAATAAGAAATACGCGTCATGGCGTTAAGAGAACTTAGACTTAAGCGTACTTCTAGCCCAGTGGCCATTTGGTTGATAAGAAATTTAATAAAATTATATGAATTTTAATAGCAACAGATATTCAGATTTATGTTTTTTGTTTTTATATTTTTGGCATAATTTTACAGGTATACTTTAAAACGCCTCTCGACAAATTCGAGCTGAGTCGTATCAAGGCTCATTTATCAGTGAACATTAAAAAAATTGCCAATTTTCTGGTGAGAAACTAAGTGGCCGATTAAAACAAAAAATTATAAACAAAAAACGAACAAAAATAAAATAAAGCTGTTGCTGCTCTGCCGCTGCTGCCACCGCTTGACTGTTGTGATTAAAATCATAATTGAAAAGCGCCCCTTCCGCCAACGGGGCGATAGAAGTGCTGCCAAAACCACCTTGCTGCTCACACTTTGCTTGCATACAGAGTGGCAAAAGCAATAACAACCACAGCAACAACACCAACAACAACTTTGACACTTGCCACGCGTCAATGTCAAAGGCCTGCGCTTGACAATTTAATTGTCACACGCCCGCCGCTTTTGGTCAGCTGCAGCAACAGCAGCAGCAGCTACAGCACACGAACCTGCCGCCGGGGTCCAAGCTCGAACTCTATTAACGATGCCAATTGACGGACACTTGAATGCAGCACTGCTGTCAGTGTGGGGGGCGCAAGGAGAGCGTTTCGAACTTTACATTAACATAAACACTGTTGGGCAGCAGGAGGAGCGTGCTCGGCAAGGGAGACAATAACAGCAACAGAAACATCTTGAACATTGTCATAAATAACGCGCCAGTGACAACTTGTTTGGTCGCTAGATGGGATTGGGATCGCTGCTCGAATCAAGACAGAGACTGAGACTGTGGCTGGAACTGGGACTGAGACTGCCATCTAATGCAGGAATTGACGTGCGGCGTTTGCACCTACCACGTTTTTGATGCGTCCGCTGCAGCAGCTCCCCAGGCGGAGGCCACATAAAAGTGGCGCGGCAATTGCCAACTTTGGCCAATGCCGGTGACAAGTGTAAAACGACTGTCGATGCCGGCGACTGCTCCAGCACCGGCATCAGAACTACCTCCTGCACAACAGCTTGGCCTGGCCTGGCCTGGCCTGGCATGATCTGGTCTGCTCCTTTTAGCTATCGTCGACACGTTGACGGCGTGTTTGTGTGTTTATGGCAGCTGCCGTTTGATACTCATTCAAGTGCCGCCTAACATGATTTCGGTGTCATCTGCCTTTCAGCTTTAATATCGCCTGTTTAATGTGACATTTCGTAGCTGCATGTTGTTGGCTGCTGCATTATTTATGAGACGAGGCAAACGTTTCAGCATCTAACATTTCCCCATGCAGGAATCTTAAATGTTTTTTAATTTAGTGATGATTGATGTCTTGTCCACGTTGCCTTGACAACGACACACGACTTGACGCAGACTAAAACTTTGACTGCGACGTCGACTGCGGCTGCGACTTCATCTGATTGCCATTTTGGATGTTTGATAATGTGCCTGTGGGGATACGCAGCTAAAGAGTACGTCAGCACAAAAGTCAATTAAGCGGCGATTTAAATGCAAGCAGGGTCAATGCCAGGTTGCAGACTAGAAAGGAGTGCCTCAAATGGCAGCCAGATTTGGCCTAATGGTCTCTCGCTACGTGCTGCCCATTGTGCCCCATTTGACCTGATTTTATTTGCAGTAGTTTACTTTTATTTCTCACTGTATACTGTGCTGTGTTGTGCTGAGCTTTGCCGCGCTATGCACGCTGCCTGGCAATGATGCGGAACTGAATTCGAAATGAAATTGCAACCACAAATTGCAAGTCGGAGCCATCGACAATTTCATTTTTCTCAATGCAGTCGAGTTCAAAAGGTTTACCAAATTATAAATTAAAAGTAAATCGAATCGAATGCGCACCCATTTGTCTCTGAACTTGAAAGTGCCTATCCCGCCAGGTAGCTTGTGAAAGTCAGGTTTGGGGTCAGGCTTATAGGCAGCAGCAGCAGCAGCCACAGCAGCCGTTCGACAAACAGGTGCACGCCAAATCCGTTTGACAGTGCTGTCAGCTGTGTGTTTTTCCATCGTGTTCTAATTTGCATGCAAACGGAACTGAAGCCGGACTGGCATCGATTCTTGAACTACGACTGTCTGACTGCCATGATGAATTACTTGACATTGGCACGTGAACGTACTAGATCACACACACACAGACAAATGAGATCACATTACCAGTGACACGGCGTGTGGGCGTCCTCAATAGTCTGCCAAAGCGATGTCGATTGTGATTCTGATTCCGAATACCGCAATCTCAATTCATAATGATTATGCCGGTCATTAGCAGGGAAGCATCGAAAGCACTAACAGCAATAACAACAAGAACAACGGCAGCAGGAGCTGGCTCATTGCTAATTACTATTGCCTACTGCCTGACAGAGCAAGCTGGCTGCTTTAACGAGGACATTGGCAATGGCAATGGCAATAGCAATTGCTGTGGCCCGGCTAATTTATGCCCACGCATTGCCATTGCGAAGATTCCATTGACCATTGGCCATTTGCCTGTCAGCTTTTAGTGCGTACATCACTCATTGTTACAGTTAGAGAGTTGGCGGCTCTAATTTAATTTAAATGAAACTCACTGTGGTTAAAACACCCGCGCGATGTAGCCGCATGCTGCACATTTATCTGCCAGCGGCAGCGGCTCTAACTGCAAGTTGGACTGGGCAAGCGGATCTTGCTCCACATCCACTTGGCTGTCGACTGTCGACAGTCCAGTTGCTGCAACTTTTCAAATGTGTTTGGGTTTACTAGGTGAAATTTTGAGCTGACGTGGGCGTTGCAATATTTTTGGTTTTATGGCCGTCGTTCACAATGCACCTCAATTGCTGTCTCCCGGCGGGTAAACATGGCAAAACTGGCACTGTCATTAACCCATTAAAATGTACCTGTAACTCGATATCAAGCTGAGCCTTCAATTTGAATTGCTGCCAGGATCCGCATGTTGTTCCTAATTCCCTTAACGATTCTCATTGCAGCCAATCAAATCTTTTGATGGATATGTTGACATGAAATTAAACTAAATAATAAAAATATATATACTTAATTCGATAATGGCATTTAATTTATCTAGAAACAAAAGTCCCAAAGCAGAATATGCCTAATGTGATCTGTTTCGCTATGTGATAAATTATTAATGTTTATGCTAATTATGATGTCTAAATGCGTCATTATTGTTTAACAATCTATTCTAAAATTCTGTTAATTAGAAAAATGAATGCGAATGTCTTAAACAACTGTCGACTAGAGCTGGGCAGTAGGTTAATCACCAGTGCCAAACCAGAATCAGCGATTGTCATCATCAGCGTCATCGTTGTCTCTGGCTTATTGCTGTTAATTCATTTTGCTCGCGCTTATCAACAGCGCCATCAGCGCAAAAGCGAACATTTGTTAAACACTAAATGCACTTATTTGTTTTGTGGCAGTGGCATCCGCATCCGCAGTTGGTGATGCTGCCGCAGTCGCAGTCGCAAAAATGCAATCAACAGCGGCCACACAGCGGCAAAGACAGCAACTGCGGCAGCGTCGACGACTAACTGACTGACAGTAGTTAGGAGCTGCGACTTGCTTGCGCAGTGGGGAAGCTACTAAAATGAGCAGCAGTCTTAGTCTGAGCCAGAGTCAGAGTCAGAGTCTCGGTGTGAGTGAGCCCCATGGCGGCGCAAACTCTGACTCCGACAACACAGTTTTGACTCCCACGTTTGCGCAGGCGCATTGCACAAATTGCATTATTTGCACGCCGCGCAGTTGTCTGCCAGTTGGATTTGTTGTTCTTGCTTTTGCTGTTGCAGTTGTTTGTAGACTGTTGACTGTTGTTGTTACTATTATCATCAACATTGTTCTTGTTTGGGTTTTGGCCGTATGGTGCGCAAAATTTCTACCGCTTTACTGCTCGGTGCATGACGGCAGCGGCACTTGACGCCACGAGAACATAAAAATGCTTTTCAGCAGTCGCACTCGAAGCGATGACGATGCTGCCGCGTTGTTCAACTAAACTACTCCAGTCAAAATAGCATTTTAATAGACGCAGCATCCACAAAAACAGCAACTACTACAGCAACATGAATAGCGAGTCGACACGACGACCTGGACCTAGGCTTTATGACGCTGCAACATGTGAAAATAGTTGAGCGAAAGAAATTACAAGCACACGCTTTTCTAATCTACGAACCTTTGCTGCTGCATGTCCAAAAATTTGACAGCGGTTTGCGGGGGGCGGGCACAAATCTTTATTTTGTGTTTTATGTTTGCGTCCAGGAATTAAATCCAGTTAGCTTCCTCTGCCCAAAGCAAATAGCACTTGTAACGCCCTGCACGGAGTCTGTGGCTCCGTTGCTGTTGCTGTTGATGTTGGTGTTGGTGTTGTTGTTGTTGTTGTTGCTATTCGTATTGGTGTTCATGATCATGTTGGTGTTCGTGTTTACTTTGCTGCTGAGGTGCTGAGCTGGTGCACATTTAGCTTAACGCTTGACTTACCCATACCCCATTTTTGGGTGGGTGTTTGTGTAATGAGCAACTGTTTATTGCTGTCTGAAGTTGGCAAGTGAAGTGCTCATCATGACAGCTGTAAATTTGCCAAGGCAAAGATGATTTATAATTGTCATAGACTTCCTGGTTATGTTATTTAAACGGGCGACTCAAAGATACGTAAGTTGCATAGCAAAGATAGTGCTTGAAAGTACTTGTACTCGTAATCGTACATGGCATATACATTTCAGCCGCTTGTCATCATGTTGGGCATCATGAGCTGGCCTAAAACAAACATTGCGGTCATGCGGCACTAATCATGTACTAACCACAAGGAGCAACCACTTTTAGTTTAGTTTTTCTTATAGCAAAATTAAATTTCTCTTTTATAAATTTAATCTAAACTAATTTTTTCTTGTGTTCCAGTTCCCCGAAGCAACAAATATCGAATATCTCGTGGCATTGTTTATTCGGCAAGGATTAATAACATCGCTTTAAATATATTAAGAAGACTGACAATACATATCCTTTAAGACAGTTGACTTAAAATCAAACCAATAAATCGATAGATTCATTTTATTTATTTCAGTTCCTGCTTCGGACAGAATACCCTATAAATCAACGTATTCATTAAATTGCCTGCAATAAAAACAACAGCAAATGAGCCGGTTGTGCAATTTTGGGCTGAATAGAGCCAGCCATTAGCAATTAATTTAATTGCAATTGCATGAAATCACACAGCACTCAACATAATATTCTAATTAGTTTTAAATGTGATCCATTATACAAGACGCAACTGATACCGAGTCAAATCACTGATGCACTGCGGGGAGTCCTCCACAGCTCCTTTTTAAAAACAGAAAATGCGAAAATAGTTCAATTTAACGAGGGACATTTATAATTTTATTGACTACTAGTCGACGGTCCATTAATGCCGAGTTCTGGGGTACAGTTGTGAAACTTGGCGCAGCAGAAGCACCGCAGGCGCTGACATGTGCGATTTGGATTTGGCTTTGGCTTTGGTTTCGCTTTTGTACAATCAAGTTAGAGCGGAATTTTCAACATTAGTTTGCAATTTGATGGCCCAAAGCTGTCACGTCGGAAAGCAGCAGAGGAAAAACAAAATGTAAAGCAGCAACACATTTGCAACATTTTGACTTCTCGTCAAAAAGTGGCGGGGAACAGCCAACAATGTTTGCTAAGCAGGCACACGTCGAGCCACCGAACAGACTCGAGTTGAGGTCTCAGCCTCAGCCTCTGACATATTCCTTGTTGACGGCGCACGACTTGGCTAAGGACGGCGGCCGTCTTTGCCGCTGACTGGCACGGATTGAGGGCATCATTATGATGTGACTGTGGCTGTGACTGCAGCAAAAACGGCTATGGTGACGGCAACGGCGACGGCAACCTTTCGGGAGGGGCTACATAAACATTTTCATTTTCGTTTGGCATAGAAACGTCACCGGTTGGCACATTTATCAAAACTTGCCTTACTGACATTTGCAAGCCACTTGAAGTGGGTTAGCGGTGCAGCGGTTTTTTGCCCCTATTTTTCTTTTGCCTGTCCGCGTTCAGCTCTGATCTCATTAATTTTATTTGTTGCAAAAACAAAAGAAAAGACAGTTTGCAGCACATTGCCACCCTGAGGCGTCATAATGTGGCGATTTCTCAATACGCAATTTTATTGTTATTTATTGAATTGAGAAATTACTCTGAAATTGACTAGCAGAAATACCAATTATAGATCTGATAATGAAAGGGCGGCCCTCTAATGATATCAGCCCCAATCGGAGCATTAATAATGTTTTTCTTCAACGATTTGTTTGCAACTAGAAGGCTACTAAATCAATTAACGCCTGCAGCCAATAAACGGAGATAACAAGCCCAGGCTAAAAGCAAATTATTTTGACATTTGCAACCGCAATACGCCCGACAGCCCGATGTTGTCGCCGTCGCCATCGCCGTCGTGGTTGTCGTTGAGTTTGCCGTTGACTCTGATGTAATCGCCGACTGGCATCGGGCTCGGCAACAAAACATTGGCGCTAGCCACAAATATGTTTTATCGCATTTATTATCAGTTGCACAAAATCGTCTATAATTGAAATACTGTTAACTAGATTAGCGACCATTAAAGACGAACGCGTTTTAGCCTGCAACAGTCGGCAGTTAAATTAAACGGCGGGCGTTGCATTTGGCCGCCAGTTTGCCAGTATCCCAGTTTATTGCCTGACCAGATACGTCATTCGCTCATTTTGCTAGTTTAAAGTTAAAGCACTCAGTCTCAGTTACCGAAATGGCGCGATTGGTAAACGTCGATCCAATAAATCAGCAGCCGCCCGAAGGGACATGCTCTCCATTTTCGATATTGTTTATTTAAGTGCATTCAAATAAGCCTTTTTACTTTTTCAAATCTAATTAAGTTGTTTAAGTGGAATTTGCGACCATTAAATTATGCAAATGTTGCCGCATACTCGAAACTCACTCGCTTCATGCATTTTTACACTGGTAATTTGCACGCCGTCGCCCTGAGGGGCCACTCCATAAATTGTAAATCACAAAACTGGGCAAGTTCGGATTTGTTTACCATTTGGCGCCAGTGCGAAGCCTTATGTGAGGGTGCGTTGCTTAGATACGTTTTATTTTTATAAACTTTAAAGTAACGAACATTTAAATTGTTATTTATTTTAAAAGTTGTATTCATTGATAAGAATTAGATAAAGTATCTATTATAAGTTGTAGGCTATTATTGAGAAAAGTGATGTATTATCACCGATATTTATAGAGCCTTAAATTATGTGTTTAAATCATTCACTAAAGCTGTTTAATATTTATTTTTATTCCCTTATGTGTTTTACATTTCTATTAACTTTAATGGATAATGGTAACGATTCGAGTGAGTGCGTTACATTTACAGCATCATGTACAAAAGTTTTCGTGATCGTTAAAGAGAGCACCATGCCTTTTTAATTGGCATCAACGCACAACTCGAGGAAGCTAAAAATTATACACGGATTTGTTTATTTGCTTTTTATGTTGGCTCCTTTTTCGATTGTGGTCAGCTATGCCAACTGGCATATACTGATAATGATGATGATGATGATGGCGCTGGGTTTGTGTGCTTGTTTAGTGCCCACACACGCACATAAAGATGTCAACGCTTAACTTATCAAGCAAGTGAAGCAAGCGGCTGTAGACGACGCCAACGATGCTGACGTTCATACAATAAAAACTACTATAATTTCTTATTTGAGTTTTATTTGCGTGTCGTTGCTGGACACACAAAATACAAATACAAGTAGCGCCCACCGTTGGCCGTTTATCAAACAACAATAAACTGTAATTTATGAAAAATGCTTGTAAAATGACGATAAAACAAGTGCCAGTCAGACAACGAGACTGACGGACGCTGCACCCGAAGAGACTACAACCACGACAACGACAACGACAACGATGATGATGATGATGATGACACGGACATAGACATTGCTGCCTGTCTTGCACAGTGGCATAGCTTAAGCCCGACCCATGGCAAGTGCACACAAAGCATGTGGGTGTCTCTTTATATGTGTTTGTGTTTTTGTATACCTTTGTGTGTGTGTCTATGGGAGAGCACAAAGCGAAGACAAACAATTCATTGTATGCAAGTGTCTCGTGGTCGTGGCTTGGGGTCTACGATCCCAGTTGCATCTTCACTTTGGCCTGCACATTTGACCATTGTCGACACGCTTGTTTTGTGCCAGCCCAGCCGGCCAAGTGAGCAGCCAACAACTGCGACGGTAACTGTTTTGGACCAGTCTAGCGACAGGTCAGGTCCACACAACATTTGTACAAGCCAAAACTTTTGCTTTCATACTCCGACGCTGGCGAGTTGTTTATCTAATTGTTGTGGACAATGTTTTACAATTCCATATTAATTGAGTCCATAGAGTTTTGCAAGTCAGCCCTTAAAAATGCTGACGCCACAATTTAAGCAGCCCCATTAAAAACCACAAACTTCTGGCCCACTGAAGAGTTCTGCTATACGAAACATTAAGGAGAATTTAGCGCTGGAGAAGGCACTGGTAATTGTTATTACTGCTGGCCTGGCGCTTAGTGGCAGTCTACCCTTGTGACCATTTAAGTACAATTAAATTTGTTTACTCTGACGAGCGATATTGAGCGATAGTATACAAGTGTAATCCATAAATAGTGAGAAGTTTGATGAAATTATTTTATTCAGTTACCTTTGTCCTGTTGGAGTTAGTCGCGCATTCGAACAGACTGTTGACTGGTGGCGTTTTTAGTAAGTGAATATTTCGTTGTTGTTTTTTTGTAATTCTGACAAATAAAAAAAAATGCAAATCGCCTGCCAAAAAGCCACCGCAGAGGCACGACGAACGGCACGAAGACTCATTTCAGCCTCAGAAATGAGGTACATTCAAGGAAACCACAAGAAAACAACCAAATTATGTAAAAACTCTGGCAACAGTCACCCTAACTTCAGCTAACCAATATTGGCCTAGTCCCCGTTGAAGAGATTTGATGTTAAGCTACATTACCCTTTGGTAGGCAGTCTGTCTGTTTGGGCTCATTTCATTAGCATAAATCGGAGAACTGTACGCCTGCAATAGACGTAGTAGTAGTCGTACAAATTTGTAAGCACGATTTTTGCAGCAGAGCAAACACCTGAAACATTGTTAGAACCTACTCTGCCAACATATTTCCCAACTAATGAGCATTTGTATCAATCAACTATTTGTTTATATTTTATAATTTATTTTCACAATAGCTGATTAACCACGTAATATTATGTAATATTTGTTCATATTAATCCAATTCAATATGGTCAATGGATATCAATTTACTAAACATTCAAGTATATTCAACATTTTAAATGATTGAACTTGTATTAAAAATCATCTCAATAATATACATGTATAAAGCCGTCTTTTATAATGTTTGACATTAAAATAGAGATATATCATTGTCTCAAAAATCAATTGAAATAATAAACGATTACACGCTTGTGCTCATATCCTTAGAATATTGAACGAACCCATACATTTCTATGGTTTGATCTTGCGTCAGACAATTGCCATACAAGTATCACAGAAAAGAAATTGGAAAAACAATTTATGGCGCCACGATTTGTTGACAAATTTCTCACAACACGATTCATAAATTATGTGACCGTGACCGTGGGCTGCCTGTGGATACATTGAAGGAGCTATGGTAGCCCCAGCCGAACTTCTATCCGCACGACATGTGAGACAATTTGGAAACGTAATCGTGCAATAGGTGTCACTGATGAGTGCTGACACTATTTTGCTGGCCTGACGATCATAACTTGCAAGAAATTATCGCTGCGTCGAAGGTCGTTAAAAAAATACACGAATTAAGGTAAATGTTGTTTGCAGACTTTTAAATTATCTCCATCTTTTTTGAGTAGGGGTCGCATAACTTTCTCTTTTCTTGCTTGGCCCAAAGGCATGAGCGGGTGTTGTCGCTGTCACGAAGGATCAGTTGAAACGCTCATAAAGTTTTATTACACTCATAAAGAACGCCGGATGAACTTTGGCATGCGGCATTCAAGTTAAATATGTTTTTAAATCGAATCTTTATCTGAAGTTTTCCTTAAGGGTTACCATAAGGCCAGTATATAATTGGTTAGGTAGAAGTTTTCTTTCTATCTATCTTTCTGACCAGCGAATAAAATTTATCTTGTATGCATTAACATATATAAGCAATTCATAAATAGATGTATAACCACTTTTATTTTTTTTTTGTTTAATATCCAAGGCAATTATGAACTGAATTTTTCTTCTCTTCTTGCAGATAAAGTTTATAGAAGATTTATTCCAAGGCAATTATGAACTAAATACATATCTTCTCTTCTTTCAGTTAAAGTTTATGGAAGGTGGACTTCGTTATGTGGATTAATAATGATTTTAAGAATTTTGACTTTGGACTTTACCAACTGTACGCGTTGGTAATGCAAGTCGTCAAAGCAAGAAGCATTTTCTATTATAATCCAAGTGGGCTGGAATGCAACTGGCAGTGGTTGCAGCAACATAATTTGACCAACCAGCCACAGTGGGCTTGGCACAGTCAAACACCATACTATTCACTGAGAGAGCACCAGAACAGCGAACTCTTTGTTTTTGCCTGTCTATCTGGCAGCTTCAATATTAATGAACTGATGACATTACCGGCTATTCTTAATCATTTAAGGAACGTACCTGTGCTCATTGAGCTGGCAAACAACAGTAGCAACAATGGTATACTCAACTTTAAAATGGATACTTTGGCCACTCAGATTCTTTCATTTTGCAAGCAGAGCAGCATGCTCAATGTTGCTCTGTATTTTCAACATACGACTCATCCCTTCACTCTATACAGCTTTAAGGCATTTCCACACTTTAGATTGCTTAAGCGAATCTTTACCAGTTCGGGCCTAACCCGAGATGATGAGCTGTATCCTAACCAGATAAAACATTTTGGGGCTATGCTCTCCGCGTCATGCTAGATTTGTCTGAGCCAAATTCGATCATGTATCGCGATGCACAAGGAAATTCGCGTTTCACGGGATCCATGTGGCATTTCATTGAGTCCTTTGCCAAAACTCTTGAAGCGGGGCTAAGTGTTTCGTATCGGACATGGAAAAAGACAAACACGAGGACGGAGGAATTGTATATGCTAGAATTTACAAGAAACGGCAGCGTAGATTTCGGCCTGTTTCCTGCGAATCCCCAGCCTTCGAATAGGTAGGTGGATACATTCATTGAAATTATAAGAAAAAAATCTATATTTCTTAACTTGCACTTAATTTAAATATTTTATTATATTTTCCAAATTGTAGTGCATAGTTATAAGACCCCAAATGACAAGTTATCCGAATTTGAATTTTAATTAATGTCAAAGATAGATTGACCAATCAATTTATTATAGGTATTACCAATATTCATTTCCGATAGTCTATGGAAGTTTGTGCATCTTACTGCCTTGGGAACGTCCCATTGAGATACAAGCTTTATTTAAATGCGTCCTGGAAATTAAAGCTCTCGCACTGTTGCTGGTTGTTTTTGGCTGCTATGGGCTGTCGTGCAGGATAGGAGGACGGCATTTCCCGATCTGGATACGATACTGTCGGGATCGTCTAAGTACATTTCCCAAACTACTAGCTCTACTGGTGTTATGTGCTTGCGAAGCTCAGTTGCTTGCATTATTGATATCGCGTCCTTTGCAAATGCCCATTAACAGCTTTGGTGCATTGCTTGAGTCGGACTTACACATCTTTGCCTTCCGACCAGAATTCAGTAACATAGAAAAGAGCTTTCAGGCCAGGTATGCGGCGGCTTTTAGGCTGACAGACAATGTAAGCGAGGTGTTCCAGTTACGAAACAGTTTTAATACCAGTTGGGCCTACATCATTCCAAAGACGAAATGGCATGTTATTGAGACTCAGCAGCATTACTTTCAGAAGCCGCTTTTTCGCTACTCTGATCTGTGCCTATCCGGAAACACTCCCCACAGTATTCTGGTGTCCGAGGAATCCATCTATAGGGAAGCTGTGAATTTATTCGCGATGAGGGCACGACAGTCAGGCCTAATGTTTCATTGGTTGACGCATGGTTTCAATGACATGGTAACTGCAGGTCGTATGTGCCTCAAGGATTACAGCCAAAGCGACCAGTGGCGAATTCTACGTCTGAAGGACTTACAGTTTGCCTGGCGTTGCTGTGGTGCTGGATTACTCCTAGCGCTGATCGTGTTTATAGTTGAGCTACTGAGATTCTACGTCGAAGTGTGGCTGGACAACTTGTAACTTGTTGTGTTGTATGTGGCATGTAATATAAAACCAAATGCAAATTGACTGTCAGAAAATCACCACAACATCACGACGAACTGCACCAAGAGTCATTTCAATCACAGAATTGAGACTCAACCACAAAAAAAGCTCAGAATTATGCTAAATCTAGGCAACAAGCACAACAACGGAACTAAGGCGCGAAACTGACTAACACCTGCCTTAAAGCAAATGGTGTTCCCTTGAAGTTGACAAAAAGAAAATGTAGAAATATTATGTTATATAAAAATGGACCATTATTGTGTAGGAGTTATACCAGTTTTTGATTATACATATGTAAATAGAATACTTTTTTTATGTTATTTTGCATACAAAATCATGCAGGTATTTATTAATGCTGTGCAATACGAGAATTGCAAAAGGTTTGTCTTTACCTTGCTACCAATCGTATGACTCACTGTCAGACGTTGACCGCCCTGGTTGGCATGGCCACCGCGTCATCGTCGTGGTCGTCCAGGTGTTCAATTAAATACCGACGTTGACCTTAATACTCGAGCTGTAAAAGCCTGCCAGAATTTTTGACAAATTGTCGTCGAATGTGCACAGAAATCAAGTTTATGGTCAATTTACTTGAACAACTTTTTAAAAATGCTCATTCACACTCGCATACGCTTACACACACACACACAAACAAAAACCACACACGCAGACATACGGGTGCAGATGAAGCCATGGCAAATATTTTTTTTATTTCAAGTCTTGTAGAAAGTTTGACTAAGCTAGCATTAAAATACCAAAAATAGTCAACGGCCGATGCAATTGCCAATTCCAAGGTGTTAAATACTAACGTATGCATTAAAATTGCTGATGAGGCGTCTTGTAGTCTGTGTGGATTGTAGGATTACCAAATATTTGCGACTGCTGCCAAAAGTCAAAAGAAATCAATCAAAATGCCACAATCAACAACAATGGCAACAACCGCACCAACAACAGCAACAACGGGCGCGAAAAGGCAACACAAGCAACAACAACAATAACTGCAACTGCAGCAACACACGCCACCGACAGAAGCGACAGTCTGACGTGTGCCTAAGACGCTTAGTGGCTGCCTGCCAGACGACGGCTGCTGGCATACCGACCGACAGCCCCTCGTCTCTAAGTGGACAACAAAACGCCTCCAACACTTTTGGGCGCGAAAAATGTGTTGCCATTGCCGGCGATGATGCCTTTGTTGTTGTAGCTGTTGCATTAAGTTTCCCGGGCCAAGTGTTTGCCAAGTGCTCGGGCCGACTGGGTTTACATGTTGCAGTTGCAGGGGCGTAACGGCTTTTCTCGACTCAGACTCAAACTACAACTCAGGCAGACTCATGTGATGCATATAAAATAAATAAGCCAACTTTGATCTTCATTTGTTGTTGTCAAGAAGCTGACATGACTCTTCCATTGCCTTCGGGCCTGACCCATATTTGCATAGTTTAGTCGAGAACAAAATGGCAACGCCAAAATGTTGACAAGTGTCAGTCAGGCAAACGCTTCGTGGGATTTGAGATCCTCGCATTGTGCATAAATTTGCATGTGGTCGCATCTCACGCTTTGGCCACAGACTCGGCATACATTTGTTGAGGTTGCGGCAGTGAAATTTTGTTTTGTTTTGATATTTCGATTTTTCGAGCGCACCTTTATGGTCTATTATACTAACGGGAATGCCCCGAGAGCAAGCGAGCCGATCGACGTCGACGTCGGGTAATAATAAGTAAATTGATTGAAATGTGCGATATCATGTTGGCCGCTATTGAACGGAAATGGCCAACTTCCCCGCAACTCCGCAACCAGACTCTGCAACATTTTTGTGGTAGCGGATTCAATGTCGATTTCGTTTTACACCAGAGGCGCAGATACGCAGCCAAAGATAGACGAGTGGGGTTGGGTCACTTGGCTGGGTCGCTGCCAATGCCACGCACGCGGGGTGCGGCTCAGTCCGAGACGCCCACCCAGTTTGCCCACCGGCCAATCAGTTAAGGTCGGGGTCGGGCAGCCTCAATGCTAACTTTATGCTTTAAATAAATCATTAGCATTTGCATCCTAAAACCCTTGATTGCAAAATTCGACACTGACTGGTTCTCTAAAGTGAATCTTAATTGAATACTTAAGAATCCTTTCTAAATGTATGAACGATAATCAGTTAATTAGCATTTGATCTTAGAGTTGCCTTCTGCTTGATTTAAGCACGTTCGTTGACAAAATCTTTTGTAGCGCGTGTGCGCAAAATAAGCAAGTCCGTATATGAGCTGCAACTGTGTCCCGCAGCAACAACAAGAACAACAGCAGCCACTTGGCGACATGTTGCTGGGGTGTAATTAGCATGCTAACTGCCCGGCGATTGAGTTGACTTTTTGGTCAACTTACACCAAAGTCTGGCGCACCTGCACATGCAGCAGTTGCCGTTTCCGCCGCCGCACACATTCACCGCCATCTCAAATGATCTCATAAAATGCTACTTAACACGTCGTTGTTGTTGGTCGGCACCTTAGTCTCATGTTAAACTGAGCAGTAACGATAACTCTTTGACTCGTGTGTACGACTGACTTGTCTTGTGAATGTCGGTCTGGCGATTTTTATTGACTTTTCATTGATTGCTGCCGAGCACCACAAATTAAAAATTAACAAAAAATTCTTTCAACAACGCCGGCTTCTTGACACATGCATAATTAAAACACTTTAAAAACTCGCGAATTGCGTTAACCAGCTGAAGTTTCTTGTTTCTTACCGCTGTTTGCGGTTTTTGTTTTTGTATTTGTTTTTGTATTTGTTTTTTTTTTTGCGTACGTTACAGTTCAGTATTTGCATGTCCCATGCGAGCTGATGTAATGCATTTTTTTCGGGTTTTCTTACTTATTGATTTTTTAAGTTTGCTCAAACATTTAATCAACTCTTTCTGTGTATATGCAAATGTATGGTTTCCTGCCTACACTAGCAGCAACACAAATAATATGAATACGACAACAGATGTAATAGCAACAACCACCGCAACTGCAAATGCCTCAGCCCATAAATAGGCAATTTTCGGCTGGCCGCTTAACGCCAACACCAAAATTGGTTGGTCTGCAACGAGTCGAATCGATTATCGTGCACTTAACACCAAGCACCTCTTTAACCTGTGCTCTGGATCGGTCCAAGTTGGAGCAGTGTTACCCTTTAAGGTTTTTGTGTAACAATTTCGAAAATATTTTCAATCAAAAACTAGGCGGTAACTGCAGCATGCTGCTTATACTGAGCGTTGATTGCTCGGCACTGCATCACACTGCACTCAAACATGATTGTAAAAATAAAAACAGCAACCTCGTCCAGAGCCGCAATCAAGGCCAGCACTGGCATCATTATCAGCTTCAGCTTCAGCTTCAGATGCAGCTTCGGTTTTGGCATCGGCATTGGAATCGGCCGATCGGCATTGGCTTCGTGCTGATTATCAGCATGTGCACTGGCTGGCCGACAATGACGACGTCGCCGCATGTGCTTTTGCCCTCGATCCATAGATCAAGATCATAAATAGCAATAAGCCAAGCTAGACAATGTCTGCTAACTGTTTCAGGCAATCAATCAATCCATCTTGCCGATGCTGCGCCGGCTGCAGCTGCTCAGTTGACGCCGACAGCATTTCGCGAGCCTCACGCTGCCCATTTGGAAAGTTCATTCAGTTGCGCTTCAGTTTTTCCTCTACTTTTATTTGATTTTTTTCTTTCCAAAACCAAGTTTGCTGCGGCATTATAAAACGTGATCGATTGATTTGTGCGATCGCAGCGGGGACAGCGGCAGCGGCGGTGACGGTGACTGCAACAGCTACAGCTGAAGCGCCGGTTGCAAGTTCAACGAGCCGATTGACTGACTGACTGCTGACTAGATAATTGTAGCGTTCTGCCGTTGACGCTACTTTTTTTTGCGCTAAACAGCTGGAGCAGTGAGAGCAACCAGCCGAGGAGGCTGTTCTGCCGCATAGCTGAAGCATGCAGCGCATTCCACTTGGCCTGGCCAGCTTCAACTGCCCCAGCTCCTTCTCCGGTTTACTGCTCTCGCTGAAAGCGGCCAATCTGTCAGCCTGACAGTTGGCCCAGTCACAGAATTCTGCCAGCCGCTGTCGGCATTGCATTTGATGATTGATGATTGTTGAAACGCGAACAAAATTATGATTAAATAAGTAATTGTAGTTAAACAAAACGGCAATAGCCATGGCGATGACGATGACTACGGTGACGACGTCTTCGAAGACGACGAGCACGATTGAGCCAAAATGGCCAGTAAGAAATGCTAAGCAGTTGGCGATTGGGACGTGGATTAGCGGCAGCACCTATGATAGCTGAAAAGCAGTCAGATCAGTTGCAGTTTTTATATGAAGATGAAGATGGAGATGGAGACAACGCTGACATTGTTGTAAATCATCCAGACTTCTGTAGCCACACTGGTAGAGCATTCCTAGCAATCCATAGACCTCGTACATAGGCAATTTTTATGTTAATTCTTTTTTTTTTTTTGTCAATGCTTAGGTTAATGTTGGCAGCGATATAGTTGCTTAATAAAAAGCTGCTTGGGTGGTCCCTTGCTCATCTTCGGGTCGAATTCAGTTAGAAAAGCAGACCACATATAAACACTTAACTTCACAGACACAGACCCATACATACAGTTGCACAGACTAAAGCACGATGTATGAAAATAATGTAATAACTTAGCACTAATAATAAATTCAAACGCTCGGCAATTAAATCGTAAATTTTTACAACTACAAATTTACAGTTATTAAAAACATAATTTGTTGTTGCTGCCCGCTATTATTAATTACTACAACAGTTTGGTGTCACGCTTAAATGCAACAAGCGACGCCAGCGGCGGTGGTGGTGGTGGTGGCGGTGGTGGTGGTGGTTGCGGGTACGTGGCGTCGTTTGTTGCATTTGCTAAATAAGTAGTCGAACGAAAAGACTTGGGCTACGAACTTGAGTTCAATCAGCATTTTCAATTTGAAAAGCATT